ACGACTCCGCTTCAATCTTGGGCTCTCGCCTGCGCGCCGGATGGATGACGGATCCTTTGCAAAATAGGGGACCTCGCCATTGTGCCGCGCAGAACCGCGCTAACAACTCAGGACGGCTCTTTTCCAAAATGGGACGCTCGCTAGAGACCCACTCGGGCGTGACAACCGGAAGCACTACGGTCGGATCTAAGACAGAAGAACATCCGTCAAGAACATGAGACCCTCCGCCGGCCAAACTGAAGAACATTCGAAGGTGTACCCTCTCCCAGGATACACGAGACCATTCAACAAGCACAAAGAACATGAGGGTGCCCTCCCTGGACCGACCTCGATCTTAGACCTCGGTGCGACCGTAACCTATGTACCAGCTGCCGGGATAGAGGGCGGCACCTTCTCCAAACTGGCATTATCCCTTCGGACTGCCTCAACATGGATCCCCGTAAGTGTTAGCTTGGGCGACAGCTACGCGGATGGGGTCGGCTTCTTCTGGCTGGACACCCCGTTGAGGTTGTTCACCCTATCTTGTCGCATTCCTTAGACCTCGCTAGATGGATGCTGGGCAAGTGCTGTTCAAATCTTAAGTCTGTCTGAGTGGAGAATCCACATGGTGGTCGTCTTTCCTGGCAGCGCTTCTTGTACTGACGAGACAAGCGTCCAGGGACTTATCATGAAGGGGCCTTGTGACTGGAGTGTGTTGCAGCGTCGTTGTCCCCGTCGTAGTCCTCCCCCTCGAACTCCCTATCTCCTGGTCCTGGCCAGCTTCGTCGTCCCACTAAGCTGCCTCCGGGTCCGCAGAGACCTGCCACCAGACCCCTACTGGGACAAGTTCAACAAACGTTTCTAACTCGATGGCAATCAAGCCATGGCTACAAAAAAGGCCTCCTCGAGACCATCAACTGAGCAATGCACCCACACATCGTAACAAACTGGATTCTCCCTCCTGCCCTTCCCGAGAAATCAGACGTCCTGATTTGTTCGGGTGACCCCAAAAGGGGTCCAGCTGAAAGGGGTGGTGCAATAGATGCGGGGCACTTGGATTGCAAACGTATTGCGCCGGAGAATTGCATTGCATGTATTCCAAGAAATGCATTGCACGCGAAAATCCAGCAATACCTTCGCGCCTCGGAATGTATTGCACGCTCTAAATGTATTGCACCCCCACAAACCTATTGCACCAAATATATTGCACCGCCCCCTTGTCGCTGGAAACCCTTTTGGGTCAACCCGGATTTGTTAAATGCGGGGTCCCCAGAACTCCCGGCCCGACCCCTTCCCCAAGGCCGGCGTGTTTTTGGCGGTCCCGGGGGCCAGCGAGGGCCCGCGGGGACAGCACACCGAGAAGAGCAGTGGCACCCATTTGATCAAGCCGCTGTGAGAAAGACAGCTGCCGTGTTGGGCGTCAGGGGTTGGGAAGGTGTACAGGGTACTACGACTCTGCAGCACGCGCCCTCGGCATACGAGGCAATATTGAACAGGGGATCGTGCCTCCCAACCCCATCCTCCTCACCCGATGTTTGTTTGAAGCTCGGGCATGTCCCCCTACAGGCGGATTTTGGACGAAACATTACAAATAGTCCTGAATTTTCAAAAATAAGGGAAAATATAAGAAAAATCGCCCCCAGAGTATTGATTCAACTAATTTTGAATATTCTTCCTGTAGAGGGACATGCCCGGCTTAATTGTTTTTCTGACATTGAGGCAAGCCTGGGCTGGATCGAACCTCGAAATCGGATCGGATCGGGAACGGAGCAGATCGGCCCCATGACGACCAACGATGGATCGAGATCAACAAGCTGCCCCCAAGGAAGTGAGCTATGAACTGCAGATTTCTCAGTTGACATCAAGGTATGTCGGGATTTGGAGGATCGAGAACCCAGGTGTCTAGACGATCTTGCCAACTTGTACGTGAAATATCTGGAGATCTCTGGACGCCTCCGGGGACCTCTGGAGATCAACGTGGACGGGTCCTCCTTCTCCTCCTCCTTCTACTCTATCCCGTTCTCGTTCGAAGCCCTACTCTCCCACCCATCTACCCCCCCGCTCCGTATCCACCCTCTTTTCCTTCCCGCCCTCCCCGTCCTCCCTCGCGCTGGACGGGATCGCCATCCTCTCCCTCATTTTCCCATCAACAAAAACTCGTCCTCCCATACTTTTCGACGGAGGAGGGCGGAGGAGGGAGGAGGGAGGAGGGAGGGCAGAAGGAGGAGGACGAGGGAGGATGATGAGGGCGGAACTGGAAAGGACAGAGGACGGTGGAGGGAGGAGGGAGTAAGGATGAGGAGGATGAGGAGGACGAGGAGGATGAGGAGGAGGAGAGGGAGGGGGAGGTCCATGGATTTGGCGCGCGGTCGCCAGATCCATGAATCGGGGGAGGTGTCCTCCCCAAGATGCGGCCGGTGCCGCCTCGCTCGGCGGCGGAAGTTCGCAAGTCCCATGGAAACGGGACCCGTCGCTAATCCACACTTCCTTGATCCATGTTCGTGATCGCCTGACTTCATCTTCCTTTTCCGCCCCTTCCCTGCAGAGGCACCCCCTCCCTTCTTCTCCCTCCCCCTACAACAAACTCGTCCTCCCATCATTTTCCTCCTCCTCCTCCTCTTCCTCTCTTCCTCTTCCTCCCCTTCTCTGCAGAGGCACCCCCTCCCTCCCCGTCCTCCTCTCCCTCCCCTTCCTCTTCCTCTTCCTAGCCTTCCCTGCAGAGGCACCCCGTGTCACCTCCAATTTCTTCCCCCGCGGAAAAGAAGCGCGGGCCTGCAGGCCGCACTTCACCTGGCCCGCGCAGCAACCCACCCCGCCCCAAACCCCCCCTTGCCCATCTCCACATAGGGGAGGAGGGAGTGATTGAGCGGGGGCGTTCCTCCTCCTCCTCTTCCTCCTCCTTTTCTTCTTCCTCCTCCTCCTTTTCTCGTCCTCCTCCCTCCTCCGCCTCCTCCTCCTTTTCCCCCCAACCTAGGACACGCACAGTGTCGTCCGACTACAATCAGTGTTGGAGTGGAAAACGAACGTTTACCTTGACAGCGAGGCACACAGACGTGAGACAAACAATGCAGACAAACTCTTCTAGCGCCAGAGCCTCAACCCGCAATGAAGAAATAAGTGTCGGAATAAAGCCGCCTGCCATAACTATGAGGCGGACTTCCAAAAACACATCGTTCAAACGTCCGGCCTCCACCACCCATCCGGTAGCTGAGCACGATCCCGCACGACTTCCTCCATCTGGAAACGTCACAAGGTTACAATCCGAAGAGTTCTCGCCACGGAAAGGGAGGTTGAAGCTTTTGGACCATGACGTCCTGGAATCCATAGTGTAGTGAACGAAAAAATCCGATGCGACATTGTATTCCCGCTTCCGCCACACGACGGGGTCGTGATGAACTTGAGGAGGATTCAATCCCAAATCGAGCATTGATACCACACTGTTGCAAATGCCGCTGAATATGGCAATGGCGTCGTCGTCCCTCAGGGGGGCCTGTCCCATGGCGACGCGCTGCAGAGGCTGGCAGCCGACGACAAACAGGAAACGTCCTCCACCCCCCCAATTCCCCGTCATATCATCGCCCTGCGTTGCGTAGGTGTTGGGGTAACTCATGAGGTCTGGCGGGCGTGGCCTCCTCGCAGGCGGCGACCCAGCGGGTCTATCCAGCTCAACGTCGGGCGCCTTGTTGCCTATCCCAGGGAGCCCCCGCAAATTGCAGATCTGGTCCGTGAACTGGACGAACTGCACAGTCCAAGCCGATGCCGTGGAGAACTGGCCACGGTACTGGCGCCACTGGGTACCATATACGGAACAAAACAAATCTTCCCAACCAGTTGGATGCCCGGTTGTCCGCTGAGTAGCACTGAGAATTCGTCTATACTTCCACGACACCTGAAGCGCTCCGTTCCACCAGACTGGAGAACTGTACACCTGCAGTGCCCGAGCGTGCTCTTGAAAACGGCGGCCTGGAAAGTGGTTATCACGCAACGCTTGCATAAATACTGCGCGGCGCACCCGGAGACGAAGCAGCTGCACAACGAATTTCTCGCACCATGAGCAAATAAACAGGGCAATGCGCTGATTTTAGTCCATTGGACCTTCGTCAGCTCGACGACGTAATTTCAACACCTTCCGTAACCATTGGAATTCCCATCTCTTGACGTCCATCAGGGTATGCTAGCACAAATGCCACGTGCTAGCCCCGAAAAGCGCTGAAGATGCTGGGCCTGATTGCCAAGAGCGCAATTTGGACGGGACGCTCCCAGTTCCATTGAAAGTACCATAATGTGATCTGTAACATCCTTCGGCCTTGAGTAATATGTAGTGCACTCCGTCGTGTGGAGCCCGCGCTATCCGGCACACTCCCTAACACTTCCATCTCGGTGACCCTGCACAATACGACTGGCTCGACGTCCTGGTTCAAAAGGTTCACCTCCATACACGTTCCTCCCGGGTGGGCGACTCCACCTGCGCAAAAATATTGCAAGGACGACTGGTTTCACCTGAGTTTGTGCTGGTAGACTTTACCCGTTAGCTCGGCCACCATCCTCCTCCTCCTCCTCCTCCTCCTGCTCCTGCTCCTGCTCCTGCTCCTGCTCCTGCTCCTGCTCCTGCTCCTGCTCCTGCTCCTGCTCCTCCTCCTCCTCCCCCTCCTCGTCCTCGTCCTCCTCCTCCTCCTCCTCCTCCTCCTCCTCTCCTCCTCCTCCTCCTCCTCCTCCTCCTCCTCCTCCTCCCCCTCCCCCTCCCCTCTCCCCTCCCCCTCCACCTCTCCCTCCCTCCCTCCCTCCCACCCTCCCCCTCCCTCCCTCGTTCCCTCCCTCCCTCCCCCCTCCTCCTCTTCCTCCTCCTCGTCCTCCTCCTCCTCCTCATCCTCCTCCTCCTGATCCTGCTCCTCATCCTCCTCCTCCTGATCCTGCTCCTCCTCCTCCTCCTCATCCTCCTCCTCCGCCCTCCTCGCGGAGGGCGGAAGGAGGGATGAGGGAGGGGGCACCAGGGAAAGACTCAGTCTCCGATCGAGTCTCCATTGCTCGTTACCGCTCCTCGGGGCCAGGTCCACCCTGCTGCGTGCGCCGTCGCCCCGCAGGGGGCAGGAGGAAGAGGATGAGGGAGCAGGAGGAAGATGAAACGACAGAATGACGACGAGAGGGGAGGACGAGCAGTAGGAAGAAGAGGGGAGAGAGGAACGGGGAGGAGGGATGAGCTGGAAGGGGGCGAGAACGACAAGGATGAGAGGAGGCGGCGGGAGGAGGCAGCTACAGGAGCTTGCAGGATGAGAGGGATGAGGAGGTGCAGGGGGGAGCCAAATCAATCGCGTCACGACGCCTCTGCTCCCTGCCGCTGCTGCTCCCCGCGGTACTCTACATGCTGTCGGAGAGACGGAAATAGGCGGGGCATCAACAGCGGGCAACCCGCAACAAAGGCGTAGCGGTAATGCGCGTATAGCCTTGCTGATCAGGAATTCCCCCCCTATTGGGGTCCAACAGTGCAACGGCTTGTCCTACTTAACAAGCGGCCAAGCGTCCAAACGTTCAAGCGCCGTCCAAGCGTCCAAGCGTTACCACGGCTGGGGCAGGCGCGAGAGACGCGGGGAACATTACGAAATTAATACGGGATACTCAGTCTACGCTTCCAGCCTGGAGTTGGTTCAGCCCCACGAGGTCACTTGGGGGGCCCAAGAAGGACGATGCTAATTGAAGCTCCCCCCATCTCTGATCAACAAAAGCATTGAAACAATACATGGATGCCCACGGATGCCGGCTTTCCCGAAGCATCGTTGGGAGGAGTTGGGCCCATAAGCGCTCCGCGAGGGCCCCTGATGCTTGAAAAAATCGCCTCCGGGATGGCGCAAGATGGTCCAAGCTGGCCGACGATGACATACAAAATACGTCTAAAAGACCCGTTGATGGCCACAAGACGGGTCCAAACGGGAACGGAATTCCCCACGGTTGCCGCCACCAGGCCACAATCCGTCCCAACTCGACGTAACATCCATGAGTTTGTTGCCCTCTCGCTCTTTAGCTTCCGCTGGCCTTCCGAGGCCTCCAGGTGGCTCTAAGAGGAGCCACGCGGGCCCTTCAAGAGGGGCAACACATACGACCCCAAGACGACACCGAGCGAGTCCAAGAGGCGATGTTTGGTCATCCAGTGGAGCGATGCTGATTGAGGCTCCCCCTCTTTGATCGATGCCCCCCCAAAATAGTCCCAAGAGGCCTCTCCTGGACCCACACATGGCTCCAGAAAGGACCCAAGAGAGCCCCAAAGGTTCCCAGCATGGATCCATGGCGGCCCCAAGAGCATCCAAGAGCACCCCACGAGGATTCAAGTGATGCTTTCTCGCGCCTTAGCTGGGTAACCCTACTCCGCGCCGCCCACATGCTTGACGATGCCCTCCAAGATGTCTGAACGAAGGCCTCATCGCACAAGACGGCCCCAGAGGAGAGAGATCCGCAGAAGCCTGTATGGTTCAATCGTCGCCGTCGTCGTCGCCGTCGCTTTCTCTTGCATGAATGGTCCTCCACTCTCCTCCTCCTCCTCCTCCATCCCCCTCCTCCATCTCCTCCTTCTCCTCCTCCTCCTCCTCGTCCTCCTCCTCCTCTTCCTCTTCCTCCTCCTCCTCCTCCTCCTCCTCCTCCTCCTCCTCCTACGGCCCCTCCTTGCTTTCCTCCCGACTGCCAACTCCTCCCCTCCTCCTCCTCCTCCTCCTCCTCTCTCCTCCTCCTCCTCCTCCTCCTCTCTCCTCCTGCTCCTCCACCTCCTCCTCCTCCTCCTCCTCCTCCTCCTCCTCCTCCTCCTCCTCCTCCTCCCACCTCCACCTCCACCTCCTCCATCTCATCCGCTTCCTCCTCCTCCTTATCCTCCTTCTCATCCTCCTTTTTCCACCCAGGGCTCACCAGAAGTCAAGTGAGAGCGTGCACCATCAGACTCATCTCCCTTCTCCTCCTCCTCCTCCTCCTCCTCCTCCTCCTCCTCCTTCTGCTCAGTCGGTCGGTCGAAAAGCGGAATGGTCGAATGGGCGACGTCGGCGATGCAGCGGCGACGTCGGCGAGGAGGAGATCGGGCTCCACATCGAGCCGCATCGCCAATGCATCGGCAATGCGGCGCGATGCTCCGACCCGCCTGCTCTGACCCGTGCCACGAGCGCTCGGGCCTCTCGAGGCCCCTGCGCACCCCTCGGCGCGCGCTCGCTGCCTCCGCTGCTCCCCGCGAGGCCCCGTCCCGAGAGCTATGCGGCACTCCCTCCGCGACGGCGGGTAGGATCCAGCGACCCCGGGGGGACACCGAGAGGCACTGGTACTCCAGATTCCTTGTTACTCGTCCCCTGGGTCCGGTTTCTGAAGGCGCCCTTTTTGTAACTGGGGGGGTCTGGTTTGTCAGGACGCCCTCTGTGGATCGGAGCTGAGGGGGTCCGGTTTACGAAGGCGCCCCGTCGAAAAGGGGAGTCTGGAATATCAGGTCGCCTTTGGAGGGGGGTCCGGTTTTTAGGGGGGGGTCGATTGATAAGGCATTTGGAGCACGACCAAGCG